ATTGCTTGTTGATAAGTTTATTCCATTCATTTGCTTGTATGCAGTGTATGATTCATGATTTCAATGCTAGATTATGCTCAAGTTTCAAACTTTCATGCATTTAATTTGAGGCAAGATCATTGTATGTATCTAATTCACGAGAACACATGAAGAATTGCTAATATAATTAATGAATCAATGCACCTTCATTTTAAGAAAATGTGAACAGATTACCCACAGAGCTTGAATCTCCCCAAGGGCTGAACCCATCCAGGTCTTGCTTCTCCTCTTGCGAGCTGAAGCAAGTCTGCCTCCCAAAACCATCACTGCTGCCTGCCATTGCCTGAGCCTCCTCCAACAAATCCAAAAATGAAAATTCAGAAGAAACTAATAATGTCAATGTGATTAATTAATAATATGAAAATCATTTCATTAAATTTAGAAAATTCTGATTCAGAATAAAATGCATAATTTTATAATCGTTAAATGCCAAAGAAAATGCAGAGAAAATGGAAACAGGGATGAAAGGGAGAATCAGAATCAGAGAATTTACGTAGAACAATGAGTTTTGAAGGATGTGACAATGGCGAACCTGAGTGGCCATGCGTGTCCACTTGTTGCCAAGCTTGGCGTGGAGCTCGACGATAATCCTTTCCTCCTCCGGTGAGAAAGTGCCTTTCTTAAGGTTGGGACGCAAATGGTTAGCCCACCGGAGCCGGCAGCTCTTACCGCAACGCGCCAACCCGGTGTTCTTCTGCACGGCGTTCCAGTTCCCTTGCAATGCAAAACTAGCGGCAACATGATATTGATGTTGTTACTTGTTACTGCCTGAAGTCACCAGGGAAGAAGAGCAAACTTAGATACTAATTTTAAAATTCAAAAGTTGACTGATGTTACAGAGAAGATGGAGGGATTAATTGACCTTTAAATTTTTAATTTTGAAAAATTTTCTATAAATTAAGAATTTTTTTATTTTATTAATTAAAAAATTATTAATGATCATTTATAAACCCAAATGAATTTACCTTTTAAAATCGTTTCAAGTCACACAATCTCACGATTTTACAATTTTTTGCACAATCTTCTTTCAATTTTTCATTATCTATAATTTTTATCTGATTTTTCCATATATGTTGTCAATAGCACCCATTATGGTACTGTAGCAGCCATATCATAGCGCTCCACAGACCTACACTACATGGCGCCCATTCGAGCCGCAATAGCGGCTGCTATGCACATAGCGGATAGCGGCCGCCGTGACCGTCACTGAATAAGTAATTTAAAATTTCATATTTACCCCTCTTTTTATCATTTTTTTTTTAAAATAGAGAGATATTATTATTAATAGACAACAAACAGGGGTACATTAAGGGGGTCGAACAAAACAGACCTCATGAGCATCAGCACAACAAAAGCAAGGTTTTGAAAACCGGACTGGACTGGCCGGTCGAACCGGTACTCGGTAGTATACACGGTTCGGTTTTATCTTTTAAACCCTTTGAAGATCAAACCGTTTGAAAACTGGTAAGAACCATTGGAACGGCTCAAACCAAAAAACCATTCGACCAGACGGTTCAATGCTTGAGAACAAAAGCTTGAGAAATTTGTCCCCCATGAAGCTTGAATATGCAACCTTGAAGCCCTTTTAGTTTATTCCAACCCTTTGCCACCAGTCCAATGCACTCCAACCCTTTGCCACCAGTCAATGGATGCTTGAAATTTTATTTATTCTATTTTAAAAATCATAATTATTTAAAATTTGTTCATAAGGATACTCAAACCTGTGATCTTTGATATGAGAAAACAACCACCTACCATCGCACTCATTGGATATCTTGTGAAATGTTTTACAAAATAATATATTTATACTATATTAATGAACCGACGATTTTACCGGTTAAACCAGTTAAACTGCTCAAATCGTGAACCAAAGGTCAAAACGGTTTGACCTCCAGTTTGGTTTTAAAAACATTGAACAAAAGAAAGCCGTTGACGGAGGGCAGCTTTCAAAAATACAAAAAGCTTGGAGAAGTTAGAGAAATGCCCATTCTAGCAAAACAATCAGTCGTCATGTTGCATTCTCTAACAGCATGAAGAATTTAGATATGCTCAAACTGACGCAGGAGCTCCTTGCAATCCAAAATAAGAGTGCTGGGATTATGGAAGTCATAAGATCCAGCGGTAATCATAGAAATACAACTAGGAGAGGGTTTGGACTAAGCAAAGAGGTCATGAATTTTGGTCTTAATAGTGATAGAGGGAAGAATGGAGCTCCAGAAGTCAACCGCTTTGATGGTAATAGAGGTGGACCAGGACTGAAGTGAGGTATTAGCATTCCTGTACAAAACCTAATTTCTAAAGAGCCAAATTCCCCAAATAATAAATGAGACAAAGGTTACCCAAGGGATAGAAAATACAGGGGATATAGCAGAAGAGGCCAAGTTAGCATCCCTGGTTCCTTTTTTTTTTCTTGTTTTTATAAATAATTTTACATGGAAGTCCCTATTTTTTTCAATCTTTTGCTAATAGCTTTTACTTTTGTAAGGGTATATTTGGTTTTTAAACATCTTTCAACATAAAGCCCTAATTTCTTCCCCGTTTAGAGCGTTGCAGAACACCGAAATGTCCTCCTCCTTTTTTCCTGGCACAACGATCTCTTCTTTTGATCTTCGTTCACTACGATTCTCTCCTACTAATCTCCTTCTACGATTGTCCCTCTCGATTCCCCCTTTTCCAATTCTCCTTAGTCGAAAATTTGAGAGTAGAGCACTGAGCAGGCTTCTTCTAATCTTTCTTATTCTGATGCTCTTCAGTTACCCTTCCTGATTCTCCCCCAATTGAAACCCTAATTAGTGAGAAGAGTACTGATTTTGAGAGGTAAGCATCGCACTCTCTTTTCCCTCTAATTAGCATCTAATTTTTGTTGTAAGTTCCTTAATTTTGTAACACAAAAGAAAATCTGTGTGACAATGAGTGTGATGAGACTGTTTTAGTTGTTACTGCATCAGAATTTTGTAATTTTTATTTTTTTAGTAGGGTTTCTTCTGTCTCTAATTCGGGGAGGAAAAAAAATTTATGTCATTGCTTAAAGGATGTTGCTTGAATCTTGGAAAGCATTCTCTAATTGCTCTGTCTTCTTATTAATAATGAGCAAGATCAGAATGTTGAGTTACAAAATTTAAAAAAACAAAATATAATTGAGTAAAACCTTCAATTGTTGATAATCATATGAGTTCTTAAAGCTGTAGGCCTTGTAAGTTGCTAATCAAAATCAGTAGTTGTGCTCTTATTAGGTCAATTATTCTATTAATTAAATTTATATAATTATATATTTAAATGACC